GGGGGGGGGGGGGGGGTGGCAGCTGCCTGCGGAGCCCCAGCCCTTCCAGTGTGTGGGGCAGGGGATGGATGTGTGTGTGGTATGGGGAGCCCCAAGCCTGCAACTCTGCCTGCCTACAAGGAAAAAACCATGTTTCCCAGGTTTTTCTCTTTTAAAGGAGAGTCCATTTTTAAAGTTGGTTGAAACATTTTTCAAGTTTGTTCACAACTCTCATATATTCTTGCAACCCACTTTGGGTCACAACCCACAAGTTGAGAAATGCTGCTCTAAGTAATCCCTAACCTGTTCTGCCACTACTCTAAGTTGTTTGACGCCTTCCTTCTCTTCGTTGTATTCGTTATCTAGTATTTGCCCTAGTTGTAAAAGACTGAAGTAAAAAAGGCATGTCATCTTCACTAAAATTGCTAATGAAACACTCTTTGTACTTTTCTGGGTATTTCAGGCCAGTTTTTAACGGTAATTAGAGGTAACTCCTTTTGATTTCACTTTGAATTCAGTATCTAAATAGTTTTAAAATCTGAGTTGCTTTCTTTGGGGTCTCTAGCACTACATGATCTGCAGTTACTTAGCCTCTCTTTCCCAATAGTCTGCAGCCAGCACCAGCTTTTCTTTATCTATTTTGGGTTCTTCTTGCAACAGTACTGTCTCTGCCTCTAAGCCTCTACTGCCGCTACCTTTTTTCAAATGCTTACCTCTATTTAAAGTACCTTTTATGTTAGACTGAACAACCAGAGAGACTAGGTCTCCAGTGGAAGGCACATTGTCTTGGTTTTCTAATCTTAGAGCAGTAGTGAACTATGTTAGTCAGAAGGTAGGGTAGATATGCACCTTTACAGACTAAGGAAGACAGAGAGAGAAAGAGATCTATATCTGTCTTTCTTAGTCCGTAAAGGTGCATATCTACCCTACATTCTGACTGACTTCAAACTAAAGCTCAGGTTATGTAATGTAATGTAATGTGTGTGTATAGATAAATATGTAAGCACAAGTTTTCATGAATCCAAGTTTGCTTCATCAGAAGATGTGAAAAAGGATATGCAGAAAGTCTTAGGCTAGGAGTAGTTTTGAGAACAAAATGTTTCTTGTGCCTTGTATTAAGGAGAAGGAAAAAAAATAAGAGTTCAGCCTACAGAAAACAAAGGTATCAGCAAGAAGGAATAATTAAGTCCCTGGTACATGGAACCCGTCTCTCCCACCATTCTCAGGCTGCTTCCTAAATCCATTGCCCAGACAGCAGTTTCTTCCCATACGTCTCAAGAGTAGAGAGCAAGCTGTAGAGAGTAAAGCTGTAGAAGCCTGTTGATCTGGCAAGAGCTTTCAGGAGAATTTCAGTTCATATTGCATCAGGGTTCAGGTACTTTAATAAAAACAGTCATTAGGATAGTCAAAGAAGAGTGTCAGGTTGGACTGGCTTTTTTTGTTCTGTTCTGGTTTAAGTTAATGTTTTTTGAACCCAGAGCTGTACACACAAATAGCATGAGGATAAATACTTAAGATTAGTAGGTAATAGGTAATACAGTAATAGGAGCCAGATAAGAATCTAGGTACACAGAAGTTGACGACCTAGATATTTGTGTGGGAAGAAGTAGCTACATATATTGACTGCTGTGCTGCAGGCTCTGCAGGAAAGCCAGTATCATTAAGTATATTTTATAAGCATCCTGAAAGAAAATAAAGCCATTAGTATTAGTTGTGTTTGTTTTCTGATGAAACAGAAATGGGAAGCAGTATACATAGTATTTAGATGGACCAGCATATTTTGAGGAAATTCAAGTATTATTGTGAGGTTTTTCTTTAGGATCACACATTTAGGGAAGAATATTCTGTAGCATAGCAGAATATGTACAGGCAGTCCTCAACTTACAACGTTTTGCACTTACAGCATTTATAAATTGACATCCTGTTTCAACTTTCTGACATCAGTTTCAACTTTACAACGCTTGATCTGACGTGATGACACTCCAGTGAACAAGTTTGCTGCTTTGCCCGTCTCCCTGGGGAACTTCTGTCCAAACTTTCTTGGACGTTTTCTTTAAGAAAGCAGACAAGACTCCAGAAAAACCTGCAGCCAAAACTCCTGAGAAGGCTGTAGCCAAGAGCCCTTCAAAAAGTCTAGAAAAGTCACCTCAGAAGTCCTTCCAAATCAATATGATTGTTATTTACAACATAAATACATTAATGTAGCTATATTACTCATCTGTAATTGATCGAGTACAAAATTCTGGGTTATTTTTGGTGAAAATAGGGTATCAGACCTTAGTTCAGGAACCAATCCCACATGTATAACATTGTTTCCTATGGGAAAATCGGTTCTAAGTTGCAACATTTCAATTTAAGGCGTGGTTTTCAGGGACCAATTTGTGTCTTAAGTCTGAGGACTGCCTGTATAAGATACAAGTATGAAGAAAAATACTTAGTATAACAAATTGAAAGAATACGTACAAAATGGCACCCTTTTAAAAAACTGTTAATCAACTTTAGGATTTTATAAATATAAGTGGCATTGCCACTCCAAACTGGTGGTGAGAGGACACTAAGAATACTCAATGACAGGAGGTGGCAACCTATGGTCAGTGAGCCAGATCCACCCTGCAGATGTTGGGCTTTGGCAGCAGTCACTGTCCCTGGGCTGCCACAGGGAGAAGCAGCAGTGGCAGCTGGGTCTTAGCACCACCAGCTCTAACCCAAACCTGGTTGCTCCAGGCTGCAGCCAAAAAGGGTTTCTGACTGCTGCAGTATGATACCCAGTAACATAAATGGAAATGAATCCACTGACTTCAGTGTAGTATTTCAGCCACTTGTTTTGTTTTTTTTTCTTCTTTAGGGTTTTACATGGTAAAATAGAGACAGAAAAACAGAAATGTAATGAGCATAGCCAAATTGTAGTCTTGAGAATGATTTTATAGAAAATAAATAGGCACTAATGCCTAATGAGTGATTTTGAAAACATACAATATGTATGATTCTTTAAAAATATAATAACATAAATGAAAAAATGTGATTGCAGTACATCCTGTTATATTGAGTTAAAGGAAAAACATGCTTAAGTTAATATATTAACTTTTTAAAAGCTGAGACGCATACTGGTGACTTCAGGGAACTGGTTATGGGTACTCAGACTTGAGGAAGTGAGAGTTCTGTTATAAATTCTGCATGTCCATACCCTGTCATTAGGGACCAGCTTAAATCATGGTGAGATGAAGGGTTCTTCACAGCCTGCTTATGGCACACAGAGTCAGTTTCATGGACATTTTCCAGCAGCCCTGCCCCTCAGATGTGATTGGCAGAGAGGCCCTGAGGGGAGGGGGGGGTGAAGGAGGGACAAGGGGATGGCCACTATCTTGATTGCTGTCTGCCTTTCGTGCCACCCTGCCCCTCAGTTCTGATTGCTGGAGAGGCTGTGGCAGGGGTAAGAGAGACAAGGGGGCAGCTGCCATCTTGTTTGCTGCCCTGCCGGCTGACACCTTCTCCTCCCGGCAGTGAGGACTGCTGACTCCCACTGGGGAGCCAGCATTTTATTTTTCTTAAGTATTTTTTGGTTGATTTTGTGGACAGTCACAGACTTCATGGTTGCCACAAAACTACAAATTAAGTAGGGCCCTACCCATCAAGCTCCACTGCCTTCCAGCTTAAGGCAGGGTGGGGGCAGCTGGCAAAGATAGTAGCTGTACTGTCTCTGCCAGGTCCACACTGGCAGTCTGCCCCCCTGTACAGGAGGATTTATCTGCTGACAGTTTACAAGCAATTTAAAGTCACTTTGCACTGTGTAAGCCAGGGATAGGCAACGGTTTTTGGCCAGAGTGCCAAAAAGACCACAGTGTCTACCTTGAAAGGTGCTGGAGTGCTGCCCAGCGCAGCTGTTTGCAGCCTCTCGGCTGCAGCCCACAGAGCCCAGTCTGCTTGCGGCAGGGCTTGCAGCCCCCCAGCCACCTGCTGGGAGCAGCCTGGGCTCCATGGCTGGCAGCAGCTGCTTAGAGCCCAGGCTGGTGGTGGTGTGCCAAGCAAAATGGCCTTGTGTGCCATGCTTGGCACGTGTGCCGGGGGTTGCTGACCCCTGGTGTAAGCAATACAAAATAGCCTTAGTGGGCAAGAGCTTCTCGTATGTGCTGAGGATCAGCAATTGCTAAGACTTGCTTCTTCTCTTGACTTCAGATTTGGAGTGTTAAGTGCTCAGCATTTGTAAAAACCCAGCCCATATAATTTTGGAAAATGTAAACAAAGTATATGACAGAACAGAATCCAATAAGTGAAGGTGTGTGGTTGATTTTATCATTCTTGAAATGTATTCTGTGCTGGTCCATGGTAGATGATGATGCCTTCTGTGTAGTCAGAACAATTTCTGCACAGTACTGTGCAGACATCAAATTAAGATAGACCCTAGCCCAAAAATCATAGTCTAAAGCCCTAATTCAGTAAGGTATTGACTTGCAAGTCAAGCTTGAGAAAAGAATGTAATTTCACTGAATTTAATCATCTGAATTATTTCTTAATTGGAGCCCTAAGGGTTCTAGAACAAGTATGGATGATTGCCATAGGTTAACAATACATTAATCATGGGTAATGTTTAGCTGTTTAACATTCTACATGCTTTCAGAGACTCTCCACTTTTTTCTGTTTGGATATATTTGCATTAGTGGCTTATGTTGTACAAGATACTGAAAATATATTTAAAAAAATATTTTCTCTCAAACAGCAAACCACAAATCAGACGCAAACAGAATCTTTGTCTCCATCTCCCAACACTGTGTCACCAGTGCCTTTAAATAACCCGACCAGTGCCCCAAGGTTTGGAACAGTTATTCCTAATCGCATCTTTGTAGGAGGAATTGATTTTAAGGTATTTTGTTCTAATTTTGATAGATAAGTAATAGAAGAAATAGTTCTGATATTTTTCTTAATAATTAGTCTTTATATTCGTTGGATTAATGCATTCAAGACAAGCATTTAGAAGATCTGTTTTACATTGATGTATGATTACACTGATGATTATGAGATGGATGGTGGTGCTCTTTGCTATAATATCCTCAGATAAGGTAGAAAATAAACTATAAAATTCTATTTTGTCCCTTTTTTTCCTCAGAAAGATGCCTTTTTACACATTTAATTGCTACAAGCTACTGATACATTGCTAATTCTGTTAAAAAATCTGATGTAAGTAGCGTTACAGTACAGACTTTATTCTCTCTCTCTCTCTCTCTCTCACACACACACACACACACACACACACACACACACACACACACACACACACACACACACACAC